AAGACAAGAAATATTATCAAGTATTACCTTTGCACTGAATCTATATATTATTATTGCAACTGTTATTATAGTTCATTTGCATTATGGTTCACATGAACATATCTGTTTTCTTGTACATTTATTTTGACTAAAAAAAAGATCAAGTCACAGAATTTCTACCTTAAGATTTTATTTTGCCTGCTTTGAAATAGAAACCAGACTTTCAGCTGTGTCTTCCCAAGGGTTTAAGAACATGTTATAGTATATGGAAGCAAGGGTACTCAAATCTTTCATTTAAAATATGACCTAGATTAATTTTTTGTCATAACTTGACTCTTCCTTTAAAGAGAACGATTCATATTTGAATCATATTAGCTTTCACTAGCCAGAGCTGAAAATAATTATTAATAGGAAGAGTAAGCACTTGTTGGCTGCCTGGAAGTAACTGAGAAGCTGAAGAAAAAGGAATACTTTCTGAGTATTCATCCTTTCCTACTTTGTGTCTGATTTGATTCTGCAAGACTTTGATAAAGGTATTATATTGCTAGTGTACAAAGGGCTCAATTATTTAGAGGGAAATGGAGAAATGAAAGAATGTACTAAAATATATTTGCTTGTCTCTTTCAAGAATAAAGCCAAAAAGGTACAATAAGGAAATGTTTAAGCAAGTATTAAAATTACTAAACCCCATCTTCCCACCGCTGAGCCTATCTCCCACCTTATACTGTTCTATATATAACTTTCCACACATAAGGATGCTGATATTGGCTGTTATAATCATTAGCCATCAAAGATACTGAGCACCTTATAAGGCTATGATCCTGTGGTACACACTGCAAAAACAAAGTGGTATAAAGTATGAACCCTTCCCCAATAAAAGTAAGTTAGAAGAAACACCCAAGAAATTATTTAAAGTATCATAGGATAAGAATCAAATGAGTGGTATGCCCATAAAATCAATCACACTCACATGGGGAATACAATCATGTGTCAGAATTACCTAAGAAAATGCAAGGTATCTCCTCCTGCTGGAGACTGAGATGAACTAGTTCTCACTCTTACCAGGACCCACACATCCTGCTTTCGCCACCTCTCAGCAAAGAGAACAGGGAAGAACGCAGAATAGTCTGTGATTGCTGAGAATCGGGGACAAATGAAGGAGACTCCAAGGTTTTGCTTCTTAAGGAGAGAAATTTTTAATGATGTAAGGGGATTAAAACTTAAGTGGTGGGCCGGCCAAGTGGCGCGTTGGTTAAGAGCTGGCTTGGGACGCCAGAGGGCCCCGGTTCGGATCCCACATATGAGGGCTAGTGACACTGCCCTCTACAGCTAAGATGCTGAACAACACCTCAACCAGGAGCTGGGCTGCCATGAATCGCTGCAGCCCCTGTGGCAGTGGGTTGCCATGGGCTACCGTATATAGCCAGCAGCCAGCGTGAGCGGCCAGCAGCCACAGTGAGAGGCCGTCCAGAAGGCAGTGGCTGATCTGCCTCGCCCGGGAAGAGCGCAATGATGGTGCCAACTTGGGCCAGTGAAGCAACGTCCTCCACAACTAGACTGAAGAACAAAAGGACAGCAACTTGTCTGTTCCCCTTCCCCCAATTCCCCAGCGCTGTTCCCATCCCCCAATACCCCAATAAAAATCTTAAAAAAAAAACCAAAAAACTTAAGTGGTAAATCTAAAGCTACAGAGATTAGTACAAAGCAGGTTTTTGTGAAGCTTGCTCTTACTAGAACTATCTTTATCAAATGCAGAAAAAATATAGAATGATAGCATGAAAAGGTCAAAGGCAGATTTCTTAAATTTATTCACACCCAGAAATGTTTTTATTTGTTTGTCAACGGGAAGGGCCCACAGGCAGGGTGAGACTAAATATATATGGAAATAAAAAGGGCTAACCGATAGAATATAACCCAAGACAGTCCATGGGGGAGAGGAGCAATGTAGGGAAGGGAACCTTTATTTTACAAAAAAAGAGGATTGTCTCTTCTTTTTATACTTGGAAAGGAATGGAAAGATGAATGAATATGTTTAAATAAAGATGTAAATGAAAAGATATTTAGTGATGAAGAACAGAATTTAGTGTTCGAGTGTGTTTATCTTCTAATGGTATCTTGCCAGGTTTCATTTAGCTTCATCCAGTACTTCCACGCATTGAGAGTAGAGGGACTATGTCAAGAAAACAGATACTATGCAAATAAAGATGACATTTAAACCATTAGGTTCTCTACTGTGTTTCAGGATGCCATTCTGGGTGTAAACTGGTGGAACCTTTCAGGCTTGAAATATGAAATTTTCTTCTGTCTATTGTTTACTGCTTTTAGGATTCTAAACTGTATAGTGTGGTTCTAATAATGCTTTTGGGACAGGAGACACTAAAATTAATAACTCCCTTTGTGCGCTTTTCCTGTTTTTGTGGTGCAAGGCAGCAAAGGCTCCCACGACACCCTCTAAGAGGCGGTGTGGCGAGTCCTGCATGGGAACCAGCACCAGAAGTTTGTGGAGCCCGTGGAGCTGCAGATCAGCTTGAAGAGCTAGGACCCTCAGAAGGACAAATGCTTCTCAGGCACCGTCAGGCTTAATTCCACTCGCTGCCCCAAGTTCTCCGTATGTATTCTGGGGGACCAGCTGACCAGTGACAAGGCCAAGGCTGTGGCTATACCCCATATGGACATTGAGGTGCTGAAGAAACTCAACAAGAATAAGAAGCGGGTCAAGAAGTATGATGCCTTTTCAGCTTCAGCATCTCTGCTCAAGCAGATCCCACGAATCCTGGGCCCAGGCCTGAATAAGCGCTGCAATTCCCCTTCATTGCTGACCCACAATGAGAACATGGTGGCCAAAGTCAATGAAGTCAAATCCACCATCAAGTTCCAGATGAAGGAGGTGCTGTGTCTGGCAGTGGCCGTTGGCCACATGAAGATGACAGATGATGAGCTTGTGTACAACATCCACTTAGCTGTCAATTTCCTGGTGTCACTGCTCAAAAGGAATTGGCAGAATATCCAGGCTTTATACACCAAGACCACCATGGGAAAGCCCTAGCCCCTGTATTAAGGCATAGCTTAGTGCTACAATAAAAAAAAAAATCCTTTTGTGGCTTTTTATGTAAAATTATACTACCAGGAGGAAGAGGTAGCCAACGAAATCCTTTCATGGTTTCTTATGTAAAATTATATTGCCAGGAGGAAGAGGTAGTCAATGAATGACTACATATAATACATATATATATATATCTGAATGATAGAGACCATTCCTTGTGTAAGTTCATATCCTATCATCTAGCACATCATCTAAAAATTCATAGAGGCTTAACTTATGTTAATAAAGTTAACTGTTCAAAGACCACCAAGAACACACCATTAATCTAATTAATTAAAATTAGCTAGCTTAGAATAGCAACAGAGAATGAACCTCAGGAAAACCATGAGGCATGTTAAAAGGGTGTTTGAAAAGGATACTTACAGCATTTGGAGAACCAGATTTAGTCATAGGATTATCTTTGAAGGAACTGATAAGAGTTCCTTAGGGAAAATAGCATGGCTAGAATTCATAGTCAGAGAGCCTAACAGATTGTAGTACATTGAGAAAGCCAGAGAATCACTGGTGGATTGAAAAAAGCTCACATATCTCTTTTCCTCATATGATTTGGTCATATGACTTGATTTGGCCAATGGTACATTAGCAAACATGATGTAATCTGAGGCTTGAAGAGTATCTGTGCCTTGGCGCTTACTCTCTTTTTATTGGAGGACCCATTATTTGGGTAAACAAGTCAGCCAGCTAGATGAAAATCCAGGGGCAGGACCAAGGTCATTCTAGATTAGGCCATCCCAGATGAATGGATCCCCAACGAAGCTGCTGACTGGCTGGACACAAATGAGTTCACTGGACTGAAACTAGAAGCACTACGCCATGAGCCCAGACCAAATAGTTGGCTCTTGAAATTGTGGTTTAAATAAATGTTTGTTTTAAGCTACTAAATTTTGGAGTGGTTTTATGTCTCAAAAACTAACTTAGACTTAAAAGAGAAGCCAATTCGGGCAGTTTGTCCATCTCCACTCAAGTGAGCAATTATTCATTAACTATGTTCAGGATTTATATTAAATCCATGAGTTGAGGGCTCATGGATTTAATATATCCATGAGCTACCTGCCTACAGTGGTTGCCTCAAGGTTTGCTCGACTACCTTGAAAAGACAACCCCTATTGCAAAGGATTAGAAACCTGAAAAGATACCTAAAACCAAACTAACAGTGAGAGCTACTGAAAAGAACAACCCACGCCCCTCACTCCATACCCAGTATTTTGAAAAATGGAGCTAGCACACAAGGAAATGATGAACCTGCCTGCCCACCATAATATGTATTGTATACAAATATAGTGCTGAAAAAAAAAACATTAGAAAATTTGAGAGATTCAAAACTGTCTTAGTCTGGCTTCAAAAATATGCTTGACCACCTGCCTGCATATATTTTAGGGTTTTGTTTTCCTATGGAGAAATTCAATAGGAGTAACTAAAAAGTTTATGTCACTTATAAATGAAAAATAATTTGGAGTAACTTAATGTAAATATTGCAGTTTAATTACAAAGAAGAGGTGTGTAACATTTTGGTAAAGCACTGGCCCTATTGAAGACACTATTATAAAGCAGTGTTTTAAGTCGTATTTTGTCATGGCTGTAATTTAACAGTTTAGAAGCAAAATTAATGTGTTGGTGTTTCCCTTTGATTAATACAACACATTTTATTCAAAGTGGCTTGCTATTCCTTTTTTGTTTCTGCCAAAAAGTCCCGATAGACACCGGCAAGGAAATGGGATATTGTGTGGGCCAAATTTCTGACATTCAATTCCCTCAGACATTAATTTAGTACAAAGGAGAATAATCTGCCGTTCACAAAGAAGAAAAAGAAAATCCCAGCACATTTGAAGCCAAATCCTTTCACTTAAAGGTTATAGTGACTGAACATAATTTTCTCAGGAGGGAACTTTTTTGTTTGAAATGTCTAAGACAAGACTCATCAGAAGGGAGAGTGAGCTGCATCTTGTCTAGTGTAGGTCTTCAGGTAGTTAAGGACACTGGATAAAGGAGAAAATTCCATCTGTTTGGAATCAGAATCAATTTTTGACACAAGCTGTCAAACAAAACAAAACAAACAGAAAGAAGCAGAACTTCCCCAGAGGAATGTAACATTGCTCAACCAGTGTGATGGAAATTTAGAAATTATACTTGTATTTAATTAAATCTAAGGAGACTACTGGTTCAGGTCTTTGAAACAAAGTTAGAAATAAATAGACCTACACAGACCTTTACCATCAGAGATTATCAAAGTGGTTTTTGAAGGTGAATTACAAAGACAAAGGGTAAAAGAGGCAATGAATATTTTTATAGAGTAATTTTAAAATGAAGCCCATTAAAACTCCTTTAACTAAAAAGTAGAGGTCAAACATGACTAGAGGCATTTTTAATTCATAACAGATGTGGTAGCATAAAACTGGTATAAATTAGTGAGGAAAACTGAATGAAAGACACTGTGCGTCTTTTAATAAAGAGAAAATTCTTATATTATCAAAACAAGCAAAGGGAATGTGAGTTTATAAACACCTTTTTAATTGAATATACACAAATATATATAAAATATTTTTTAATTAAATTAAACTGGTATTTATTTTTTCTGATCCCAGAACAAATCTAATATATATTTTATCAAGATATTTTCTACAGAACTGGGACTTTGGAAGAGTCCAAAACGTTTTAATTTTAGGGGTAAATAAAGTTGTATTTGTTACAACTATTCTTTTACATTCATCAAACTATGTAAGGGAGAACAACTTAAACGGGTAGTCTGGGGTAAGACTGCCTGGAATCAAACCTCCACTTTGCTAATTTAGCCACGCTTTTAAGCCTTCTAAACTTCAACTGAGTTCAATGACCCACTTACCTCATAGATTAGTTCAAGAATTAAATGTGACATTATGTGTAAGATGTATAGCATAGTGCCTGTTTAAAGAATTTAAAAACCAATAATATAGGGTGATAAAGATCATTTGTTATTTATTTTAATGTAAACAGTGCAAGATCCAAAATATCTAACAAAGGAAGAGACTATGTTAGGATTGATTCAGGTATTTTAGAATAGTAGGAACATACTTTTGTACAGTTCATTTAACTTTTCAAATTCTCAATAGTATTGCCTTTTAAAATATAGATGATCTGAAAATGATATATTTATTGTCTCAATTATCAAATATTTATTAAGTAACTAATGCGTGCCAGGAACTCCCTAAATACTAGTTATATACCACAGTGAACCAAGCATGCAAAAACTCTTATTCTCATAGAGTATACATGTTAGTGGAAGAGGATACATAAACAATTAAGTATATAATTATGTATATATCAGATACTGATAATACTGCAAAGATAAATAAATCAGCAATGGAAAATAAAGGTGGCTGGGGGAGTGTTTGCAGTTTAAAATAATTAGGGTAAGCTAAAAAAAAGAAAAACAGACATTTGAGCAAAAATCTGAAAAAGGTTAGGCAGTAAGCTGTGAGATGGAAGAAGTATTATTGTACTTTCCAAGTGGAAGAAATAGCAAGTAGATTGAATATGGATATAAAAGAAAAAGAAAATCTAAATTATTACAAAGTTTTTGGCCTAAGCAACTAGAAGAATAGTATAAGGAAGACATAGAACACCTACAAACCATTGGTTTTAGAAATTAATACTAAATATTAGACATTAAGGTGAATATTAGATGGATATTGGATGTGGCGCTATTGAGAATGTATCTAAAACAAAGCCATAGCTCAGGGAAAGCTTTGATCTGGAGGTGAAAGTTTGAGAGCAATATATATAGCTTGCTAGGTAGTTAGAAAACACCTGAAACAAACAAACAAAAAAATGACCCCTGTCTTTAAATATCCCATCTTTACCTTGTTTTTCACCTAAATCTTTTAAATTCTTTAAGACTCAAAGATATGTATTTTTGCTTCTTTGGGAGTTTTCCATAGCCCAGAGCAGTCTGAATTAAGTTTTCCTCTTAAATATAATATTTTCACATCTCCCTATCATTATAACATCACTCTTTTCTTGCAATTATCTTTTTTATTTAGCATCTTCACGCGACTAGATTGAGAGCTCCCAAAAGGAAGAGCTTTCCTCTTTATAAACTCTAGAGAAGGTGCTTAGCAAACAGTTGGTGATCAATTAAGACTGAATATAGTACTGTTACATAATCAGGGAAAACTTTCATGTGATTTAATTAAACAGTTTATCATCAAGAAAAGTATGCAGAACCAGTGAAAAGGGTATGGAATTTGTAATGTGAAAAGGTAAGGAATTTCAAATCTTTCCTTAAAACTATGGAATTCTAAAGAATTTTTTGCAAGTAATCTGGATTTTTACAAAATAATTATTACAGCTTGATGGAGGATGGCCTGGAGTAAGCAAAATGCTGGTAATTTACTTTGGAAAATGTCTGAAATTAGCTAAAGAATTGATAATAACGCATTGGGTGTAAATTTCTACATCTCAGCAGAGAAGAGGATGTGGGGTCAGTATGGATGGCAGTTGAGGCATTGACTTTGGGAGATAGTAGAATGAGAACAACTGGCCAAGAAATGTTTTTTTTTAAATTATGTAAATGTTGTGCAAAAAAAATTTAAAATAGAGTCTAAGAAATATAATTAAAAATAGAAGCTAAACATAGAAGAGAATGACCAGGAGAAACTTGTATCACAAAGAAAGAGAGTTTTAAGGAGAAAGAAGTAAATTGAAATTGTTAGATCAATAATTTAAAATCAAATTATCTATGGAATTTGGCAATACGTTGGTCACTGGATTCTTAGAAAGATTTCAGTAGTAATGCTTTGATGGGTGAATTGGAAGACTGAGAGAAAAATAAAAACAGAATTTGAGTATGGCACACCATTGTAAAGCTTGGAGGTGAAGGAAAAGAAATGTTAGCTACGGACTTACTAAAGCTTTCTGGGGTTTGTTTTGTTTTTTAATGATGGGAGCAATATGAGCATGCTTATTTTCCAAAAGAAAGATCTCTGAATCATTTACCACTGTTTTCGATTCTCTTTGTATTACAGTTCATAATAAAAATAAAAATGTTCATGATTATACTCTACCTGAGCTCTGGGCTTCCTCTGGGAAATGAGTATCTTATCGCTGTCATTACGGTAGATTGAGGAAATTTCAAAATTTGATGTTTCTAAAGTAATTGTCTGTGTCTCTGGGTATCTGCAGTGATAGTTCTTTGGATTAATGGGGCATCTGCTTTATAGTTAATTCTATGTAGTATTTCTTTCCATGACTCCCTAGATAAACTCTGGGCTTTTTAAATTCTAAGATTTTCATTGCTGCAATGAAACACTACTTGGAACTTAAGGAAAACAAGTTTGATCTGAAATATTTTAACAAGAATCTGTTATCCATATGATAGGTCCAAAATAAACTATTTAGAAGAATGTAATCAGTCAGGCTATAATTACTCCATCGTAACCATGGGCTATTCCAAAATAGTATATGTGTAGCAGTCTGTGTTCAATCCTTGCATGTACTTTTGGGCACTTCTGATATAGTACCTTAAACAAACCCCATCTCACAAGTATTTGTGTATGTTGTTCTAAGAATGTACAAAAGAAAAAAAATCCACTTTGACTATATTCAAACTAAAATATGAAGCTAATGTAAATGTAATACCCAAATAATTAGTATGACAAAATGAGGCCATTCTAATTATGAGACAATAGATAATCTTTTATTTTATAATGCTATACAACACAGCCATTAGGGCTGAATAAACAAAATGATCTGTGTTGTGTGTGAGTCTGTGTGTGTGAATGTGTGTATGTATCATAAATTGTCATTTATAAGTTTCACTAGTTTCTAAGAAGTCAGTATTAGGAATGAGAGGGCTCTCTCTTTGCCAAGTGCATGATGACTATAACATGCAATTTTTTAAGATTTCTGGAGCAGACCCAAATTGTTCTGTGTAATAAATCCTGGAAATAACCAAGTTTGCAGTGAGAAGAATTCAAGAGGAAAATACAGCCACCAACACACTGGGCACTAAATTGAGAAGTGGTCAAAAAACAAGAAAACTGGGCCGGCCGAGTGGTGCATTGGTTAAGAGTTGGCTTGGGATGCCAGCTCTGAGCAGCAGGACCCCGGTTCAGATCCCACATGAGGGCCAGTGATGATGCACCCTCTACAGCTAAGATGGTGAACAACAGCTCGACCTGGAGCTGAGCTGCGGGGTGTCACCAGCAATAGGGTAGGCTGCAGTAGGGCTGGCTGGCAGCTGGCATACACTTTCGTGAGCTGCCATTAGCCACCGTGAGCAGCCATCCAATGGCTGGCAAGCGACTGCCTCACCCGGGAAGAGCACAATGATAATACCAACATGGGTCAGTGAAGTGACGTCCTCCACAACTAGACTGAAGAAGAAAAAGGACAGCAACTTGTCTGTTCCTCTTCCCCATTCCCCATCGTTGTTCCCCTCCCCCAATTCCCCAATAAAATCTTAAAAAAAAAAAGAAAGAAAACTTGCCATAAAGCAGCCAAGAAAATTTGGATTGACAATGTCACCTGTAGAATTGAAATGCTGAGTGCTTGGGAAATATTTGGCTGAGATCCATTTGTTCAGACATGTTAACATCATGACAGATTTGGGATGTGTCAAAAATAGAACAGATATGCACACATATTCATATAATTGTTTGAAAGTATATATTATATTCAAATTATACCTTTCAAGAAAATGCAAATTGACAAATAAATCAGAAACATGACTGTATTCTATTTTAAATTTATAAAAATGTGGCTTATTTGTTTCTTGCTCTGCTAATGGACCTAACATAACATTATGATGGAATCCAAGGCAAGTATGAATTTGCAAGCGTGTTACAGCTTCCTCTGACTTAGCATTAGTGTTATCCCAGAGCATTTGAAACAAATGTCAAGAATGCTTACATGAGTTACAAAAGCCTGATGATCAAGCCCTGGCTTCTTCTACGGTTTTGAATTGTTATTCCTCTTTTTTCTACATTAGATTCTGGAAATGACTATTTGTACTCTTATTTCAGTAACTTTTATATATGTTTTTATTCAACTAAAATT